TTTTTTCTTTGGTTGAATACAGAGGTTTCTCCAGGGCAAGCCAGGATAGATAATCTCTCCAGCATGTTCCCAAAATACATCACCTAGAAGGCATTCAATAGGCAACACAACTCGCAGGATTTGGAAATACAAAAATCAAGGGTTCCCTTGCAATAACAAGGACTGATTGCCAGAGAGAGAAAACCTATCCTCATACAGCTGTCAGTTAAATTTAGAGCATAACAAAATGACTATGATGTGGTTAAAAGAGACAATACAATACAATACAAAAATAAATACAGCTATTACAGGCCCCGAACTTTCTTTTTTTATGGAAATGGAAAATTCCAAATGTAACGATGACATTCCTCGGATTCTGCAAAGTATTATGGAAGTTCTTGACTCCCTGGAAAAATGCTGGTATGTTCACTTTAGGCCTGTATAAGCAGTAATACAACAGTGTAAATAGACCCAAATACAGTAGTCGAGTAAATGGGTTACTCTCCAGCAATGCACTGGGGTGGCTCGTGTTTCACTTGAGAAACATCACACATGTACTAAACCTCTGAGTGCAAATTGAGCAAAGGCACCAACATACTCTGAAGCCCTCACAGTTCCTTACTCTCCCACTGGATCGAGATCCTGTGCACAAAACCACTACTATGCCACATTGAAAACAGATGGATCAAATAGTCCTTATCCTTTATTTGGACTGCGCTCTGTTATTGGAAAGAATCTCAGTACGAATTACCAAATCTGGCCGCCTTTCAGGAAAACAAATGGACACAGATGTAGTTTTCCATTTTACAGGCTGTTTATGTCTTGCAAATTCCTTCTCCAGAAGAGTGGGATAGGCGTCTTTCATGTTTTAATGGCTCAGAGTGACCGCAGCCCTTTGTGGCAAACGCTCTGTTCCAATACTAATGACATACAGTCACACAAGACTCTGGCAGCAGTGTGCTGCTGAGGCTGCCTGCCCATTGTGTAATTAGTCTACCACTAAATCCTAGTCTGGGGAAACATTCACAACCACATTAAACACTGACAGTCTTTCACCTCAGAGAGCCTGAAACAGATGGATGCGTTCTGAGGGAGTAATCGAGCACAAATGCCTTTCATCAGTCAGTTAAACTGATAACATTTGTTTTCTAATAATAGGGGGTTCTCTGCCATCACTGCAGGAGTTTGTCTCGAGTTTACAATTTGGACTGCAGACAGACAGTTTGGACAGAAGATGACTGGATGACAGTCTTCTTTTTTTTTATTGGCATTACATTTCTACAGTAACTTAATCTTTCTCTGGAGTGATTGCCTCACATGTGCTTCTGATAGAGAAAACTTTATTTGGGAGGAAAAAGCAAAACAACCAGCAAAGCTGATAAGTATACCACAAACCAGAATATCTTGATTTGGACCGTTCAGGTCTTGTCTGGCTTTGCACTTATCCTGTGAAATCCTGCCATCTGGTGGCTCTCACGAAACATTACAGTGAGTCATACTTTGTTTGGTGGGCACAAAAAATGGGGGGATTTTGTAGTTAAATAGATTAGATCAGGATTTCGACCTGCATCTTTTCCACTGACAACATAATGATCTTTTCAAGACAGAAGACAAATGTTTGTTTACTATCAAAACAATATTGGTGATATTCTCGAGTGAGCAAGCGTTGAAACACAAACCCACATCCTCACCACTGAACATTTTAATACAAATAGCAGAGGCAGCTGACGGGCAAAATGCACTTAAGAGTGCTGAATGGGCTCTTCCAGAGGATCTGGAGCAAAAATGTGAGTATATGAGGTAAACATAAATAGTGTTTTGGTTGAGCTGAGACTTTTATATTATATTTTTAATATAGCAACGAAAAATGCGGACGAGTAAAAGTAAAAACTTTTCCACAAGAGGAAAGGCTAATTTGCTTTAATATATAAAACACAACCACAAGTCGTTGCTGGAATACTCTGGTAAATCCTGACTCTGATCATTCCCAAAGGGCAGTGAACTCAGGCCGTTTTGTGATCTCTGATCCAAGTGGTTTCTGCAGACCTTTCTGAAGTGTCTCTTTTACTTGGCAGATCAGAGCAGACGTGAAGGGAAAAAAAAAAACATCACTCAGACTTAAATCTTTCCCATTTTGGTGAAGGCCACATTGCGCACATGTCTCTCTCATCTGTCAGATAATGACAGCACTAAGGCTACTTGTCACCTGGGTCAAATGAAAGCCGTCACACCAGAGGAAACCTCTCGGTGACCCGGCCTCTGTCTGGGAGCGTGACGCGTTAATCACAGCAGTAAATGACACCAAAGCAAGAAGCAGGCGCTGAGGTGTCTCCCTGAACGGATCTGCAGAGAAGTCTTAGTTTCATGTCAGTCTTCCTGATGGGCTGTTAAAAGCCATCAGGGCGCTGTGATCTCAGAGCGCACTGCAGTGAAAACACATATGGTTCTGGTTGAGGCCGGGGGAAATTGGATTAAAGAAATTCTTCTTGAAACGCTCGGCATCGTTCTTGCCATAACAACTGCAAGCAGCTGACAGATAAAACCACAAATCAGCCTGAAACTAATATTTAGCTTCTCTTTTTCATGTCGACTCAGTCACAACAGTGGAAGACAAGCCAGCTGGAGGGGACTGTGCTGAACAGTGGAGAGAGGTGAGTGGAGGAAGGCTCTCTGGATGTGGATAGATTATTATATTTCTTACCTCAACAAGGTGAAATGATTACAGCATGAAAGCGTGTTTCGGGGTTCATATAGTAAGGCTTTATTTGCACACGGGTCCCTGATTGTTGTTTTAAGACAGGCTTGAAAATTTGCGGCCCTATAAATTGTCCCTCAAGTGGCCAGAAACTGTTCTTAGGCCTGAGCGCAGCACATGCTTTCCATCACACAGATGTTATTCCACCGCTGGCAGTAAAAGAGTTGGGTTTGCTCCCTTTGTTCAGATCATCAGAGCAGGAGAATCATCTCAACCAGCGTGAGAGGAAAAAGACAGGTGTCTACATTACCCCACTTTGTTTGAAATGATTCTTTAAGTGGAGCATTAAAGGCTTCACGGAGAACAGCCTTTTAGGTGTTTAAATTAAGACCATCTGTCCAGTTCATACTAAGTAAGTCATCAGTTACATTTAATTTCTGCAGGAAAGAAGGAATCTTGGCTGCGGCCCTGATCCGGCACTTAGCTGAAATAAAGCAGAACAGGCCTGGTGTGGCTGACACTCAAATATCCCTGTCTAAACAGCACAGACCGAGACAGGATGATTTAAAAGACTAATTAAATCGTTGTTAATCCTAGCTGAAGACAAATATTTTCACAGTAGGCGTTTTGATTGATCATAAGAAAAGCACAGGTGTTGCTACTAACCTTGCTGATAGCTCAACAATGAGTCATGACAATGAGACAGCATGCACAAAACCAGGACCCTGAAACTGAGCTGAAATTCAGGCACAATTGATTTTCTACACCAGCCCTGTCACAATGCCTCTGTAAATGTAATGGAGGTCATTTTGTAAAGTACATATGTTCTTCTAAATAAAGTTGAGTAATTTCAACTTTGAACAAAAAGTATTAACAGCAATTGGTTGTAATGACACAATGCATCCGTTTTTTTCCCCCTTCCTTCATGGAGTGTAAAGATTTCTGGGTATCCAAATGTTTAAGTTCAAATAATTCACTTGGAAGAACTGTTATGGTCAGTGGAGTTATTTCAGTTATTTAGTGCAGACTTTGGGTGCAATGTGGTGTGATTTATCCAAGAACAGCACTAAAGTTTAGAGGGTGATCTTTTTAAAAGACTAACCCTCATGTGGTCAACTCCATCTTCAGGCTAGATACCAAATTTTAGTCCATATTGACATATTAGCATCACACCGTTGCAGATTTGAGGGCTGCACATCCATGATGTCAATATCCCATTAGACCACATCCCACAGATGGACTGAGATCTGTGGAGTCCATTTGAATACAGTGAACACTTTGTCATGTTCAAGAAACCAGTTTGAGATGATCTGATTATGGGAAATTGTAGCCAAGAGGATAAAATGACAACCAAATGCCAAATGTGACAACAGTATAAAGCTTGTTTTCTATAGCATATATTTTTTTTAAATATATTTTAACAGTAAATGTTGTAGATTACAACAGGCACAAAATACTCGTTAAAATATTTAGATATGGTTTTAAATATTTCAGTGCAATGGCACTGCTGCATTTGTTACACCATCAAATGCCCCACATACACTGTTAGATAAGCCAAGTAATGGCTCATTCACATGACAGAAGTAGATGCAACTTTAATCTTTCTGATTTGGCTCTGCAGACCTCAGACATAATACTTTTCTAAAAATTATTTTTTTATTTTTTTTTAAACACCATGTACTAATTAAAAATTTGGTCTTTAAAATGACTAAATGTACAAGTTGTGCATTTAAAAGCTCACTGTGTTTCAGTGTTGAGTAATTTACATGTTTACATAAAATACTTGAAATGAATGAAAACTAAATGAGAGCAGAATCAAAAGATGGAGAAAATAAGTTGTCAAGCACTAATGTTTGCACTTAAAACCTCCATTTGTATTACGGATCTTTAAAAAAAAAAAAAAAGAAAACAATATCTTCTATTAAGTACACATTTCCTAAAAAGGCATTAAGGGGAAAAAAAAAAAAAAAGTCCTAGCGTACATTCATTGCATAAAAGAAAAGCTTTGTTATTGGTCCTTGTTCATTAACTATGACGCTGGGTAAAAGAGTGAAATTCAAGTCAAATTAAACTGAGCGAAAAGTGCAAAATAATATTTAATCTATTAAAAATATTTACAGCATATTAAACAACTGACTTGTCTTAACGGGTGTCATATATTTCAACAAAATATATGAAAAGAAATCTGTACCTTTGTTGTAAACAACTAATCACATCTTCATTTTGACTTTTGTAACGCTCCCATAAAGCACTACATTTAAAAAACAAAACAAAGGATCTTCACGTAAACACGTCTTTAAACAAAATGTAAATGTAAGGACAAACATCTGGAGAATGGTTTTATTAGAAAAATGGTGACAGCCTACATGACAAATTAAGCCAGCATCTGAATTAAAACAGGGAACGTGACATTCTTCTCTCTAAAGAGAGAGAAAAAACCCCAAACAAACAAAAACAAAAAAAAAACTACAAAGTGGTACTCAAAAACATACCAGTACAGGAACAGCATAATCAGCAGCTTTCCACATGAAAGAAAATGGATTTGTCCAGGGATTAGTGTGACATCTTGCTCCAATTCTCCTCTACATCGTCAACAGATCTCTCACAATCCGCTCTCCAAAGGCGTTTTGTGAAAACATCCTTTCAACTGGGAAGAATGTCTCCAAACGTCAACACACAAAGCCTTCTGATCCGAAAATAAAAAAACCTTACACTGCCTTGCGGTGGTACTCTGGAGGGGCAACTTCATAGTCGCTTGCATTGAAGAGCGATGCAGAGTTTTTTACAAGATACCTGAAATGAAGAAACATTTTACTCATCTCTGCTGAGCTTTGATAATCATCATGAGCCTCGTTAAGATTCCTGAATACTCACTTGAGGAAGTCCTGTAGGTAACTGAGCAGCAGTGCAAGGCTCTTCTCATCCAGGGGCGTGTACGCCAGCATGGCTCCAATTCTCACTTTCAAAACCAAACAATGACAGCCTTTTATAAGTCATGTGACCACTGACCTCCATTTCATTTATAACAGCTCATTGCAAAACCATGCCTCACCCGCACACTTTCAATTTAAAGCAGCCCTTATTTTTAAATGTTGATGCTTGCATATATGGTAAATGGCCTGTATTTAGGGCTGCCACGATTTGTCGACTAGTCACGATTACGTCGACGACTGATTTAATAGTCGACGCGTCGTTTGAAGCTTTGTAAGATCACAAAAGACGCAGGAATAAGTGGCAGGATTTAAGAGTGTAATAACGGACTGAAACAGAAGATGGCAGCATTGCATGTACAAGGATGTCAGCTACCGTTAAACCCCGAAGAAAAAGAAGAAGCTGTGTCCCAGAATTCATAGCGCGGCCCAGCACAGTTTCCAACAATGGCGGCAGCTAGTTAGTTTTAATGTTACTCTTATTATTCTTTCTGGGTCACAAAATAAAC